AGTTTCTCGATTTATTCATTTTTTTTCTTTTGCCCTTTTTTTAATTTTTGTTTTTCCCCATTTCTCAGTCTCTGATCTCTTCACTCTAATAGCAAGCTCCCTTAGCACCCTTTTTTGTTTGTGTGTGTTTTTGGCTTCTGTTCCTCTCTCCTCTCTCTCTTCTTTCCCATACCCATCTTAGCTCCACACATCACAATCTACCCGCTCCTTCCTGCCTATCTGCACCATGTGCTGAACATCACACTCCCAAGCAGCACAGGCACAGCCTACTGGAACCTGCCCTGGACTGATTCCTGGTCCACTCTTTCAGCCCTGGTATGTGCCACAAACAACCCATCCCAGCAACTCCCCTTTAGCTGGACCTGACCTGCTGTGCCATACCTGAGTGACTGACCCTGACCATTGGAGAAAGAAGTGACAAGTATTGTGTCCTCAGATGAGCAAACAACAGAGAAAGCACAGCCCGCCTGCTCAGAAATAACAAAATAAAACAAAAATGCAGGATGAAACAAACAAACCTAAAATCAATAAATGAGGAAAATAACCACTGAATGCCCCAAAGACTGCAGACAATATCAAAACATTTACAAAAACAGGACAGAATGGTTCCAGTAGGTGTCCAAAATAAAACACCAGATGACCTTCCAGTAGAAGAAAAGGCACTAGATCTAACTGATAGGGAATTCAAATCACTACTATTCAGAGCTATCCAAGAGTTGAAGCAAAAAGCAGACAAAAAGGAGGAAAAAACAGAAAAATTCATGGAAAACGCAGACAAAGTCATGGAAAATACAGACAAAAAACGGAAGAATTCAAGAAAATAATAGGGAACAAAATATGAAAATAAACTCACAACTAGAAACCATACAAAAACAACAATCAGAAATCTGAAAGATAAACAAGATTTCAGAAATGGACATTGTCATAGAAGGGCTGAGGAGGAGGTTTGAAATGATGGACGATAGGAACAGAAAATTGAAGACAAACACTTAGATACAACACTGAGGAAAAAACAGAAAAAAGAATGAAGAAACCCTGACAATTATGTGGGATAAAATCAAACACAAAAATCTGCAAGTGATCGGAGTTCCAGAACAGGGGGAGAAATCAGAAAACACAGAAAGGATCATTGAAGAATTGCTGACAGAAAACTTCCCCAGTATCATGAAAGATGAAAAGCTGACCATCCAAGAAGCTCAATGAACCCCATATAGGATAAACTCCAAAAGAAAATCACCAAGGCATATCATAATCACACTCACTAAAACCAAAGAGAAACAAAGAATCCTGAGAGCAACTCAAGAAAAACAAAAAGTCTCATACAAACGAGAAAAAATAAGCCTAAGCTCAGATTATTCAGCACAAACCATGCAGGCAAGAAGGCAATGGGATGACATATATAAAACCTTGAAAGAAAAAAATTGCCAGCCAAGAATAATATATCCTGAGAAACTCTCGTTCAAATATGATGGTGAAATTAGGTCATTTCCATATAAACAGAAATTAAGAGACTATGTAAAAACCAAACCAAACTTACAAGACTTATTAAAAGGAGTCCTTCAATCTGAGAACAAACAACACCAGACCACGGGCTGAATATAGGACACAGGCTTGTACTAGCCAGATACCTACCTAGGAAATAAACTCTTAACGACTATGCAAAACCAAAAGAATTACAACAGGGAACCAGAGAGGTTAATCTGTAAATGACAACAGCATCAGAACAATAAAAGAGGGAATAGACGGTGTAGGTATAGAACCTTCCAAGGGAGAGGAAGGCATGGAAATACCAAGTAAGAATAGACTGGTTCAAATCTAGGAAGATAAGGGTAAATTTCAAGGCATCCACAAAGAAATTTAACAAACCTGCTCATCAAAATAAAGAAGAAAAACACAGTCTCAGTAAAAATAAAACCTAAAAAAACAAAAGAAATGAAAGAAAAAAAAAAACCCACAAGCAAAAGGAACAAAGAAAACGACAGCACCGCAAAAAAAAGTACCACAAAATGCAATCCCACTCCTAGGAATATATCCAAGGAAATAAGAGCTGTCACACAAATAGACATATGCACACCCATATTCATTGCAGCACTGTTCACAATAGCAAAAAGATGGAAACAACCTAGATGCCCAACAACAGATGAATGGTTAAACAAATTATGGTACATACACACAATGCAGTATTATGCACAGATAAAGAACAATGATGAGTCTGTGAAGCATCTCATAACATGGATGAAACTGGAGGACATTATGCTGAGTGAAATAAGTCAATCACAGAAGAACAAATATTGTGAGACCTCTACTGTAAAAACGCATGTAAAAGTTTACACACAAAAAGTACCAATCTTTGTTGGTTACGTGGGGTGGAAGGGGGGATGGGGGAACAACAAAAAAAGTATTAAAAAGCAGTTTAGGGTGGGGTTGGCCATTTCTAAGAGCTTTAATTCCTAGTTATGATATATTTGAATTGAAGAAATCTATCAATTACTATGGGACAAATAGCAGATGAAGTTGCTAGAGGGATGGAAGCACAACAGCAATTTCTGACCTCATTGGCCAAGGTGGCATTAGACAACAGAATAGCCTTGGACTTTTTATTAGCCCAAGAAGGTGGAATCTGTGCTGTAGTAAATACCTCTTGTTGCATTTGGATAAGTAACACAGGAGAAGTAGAACAGGATATACAGAGAATTAGACAACAAGCTACTTGGTTACACACTGTAATCCCCTTACAAACACCAGATCTATTTGGTTGGTTGTCATCAAGAATAAGTACATGGGCTAGATCACTACTGCAAGGGATAGTAATATTCTTGGTCTGCATCCTGATAGTATTAGGTATAATAAGATTTATCATCTTACACACCTAAAAGGCAAAAGAAGGCCTTGGGCTAAAATGTTTTTGTACATTGAGTCTGCTCACTCTGGCAATGTGATTGATGAGAACATCGCTCTTACTTAAGATCCTAGTGAAGAACCAGATGGTATCCCATGGAAAACCAGCACTGTGAGTTTAAAGAGCCTGCAATGGCCGCTATCTAGGAGCTCAACTAAGTCCAGGTATTGATCATCGATGTGTTATCTCCAATCTCCAATCAAAAGGAGGGACTGATTTAGGAAATAATATTGGAGTTACTATTCCCTCTCCTTGAGCATATAGAATGTGACCTAGCTGGTGGTGAGCTCACAAGGACTCACAAGGACACATCAACTGGGCCCTGAGGTATAAAGACAATAGCCAAGATAATCTTAGAAAATCCTATCTTTCAGGGAAACTTTCACATAAAGCCAATCAAACACAACACAAAAGACTTTCCACACTTATCTTTTTCTATTAGCATTTAGTGAATAGTAATTTGTTGGACCAATGAAGACCTTCCTGACTTTCGTTACTGAAACCCGTACCAATGATTGTTAAGAAAGATGATTCAAAATGTAAGATTACAATTTCTAGCCAATCAGTGAAAAAGTGATGCTTTCAGTGATTCTACCCATTTTGTGATGTTGATATATACTGATGATTCTGTAACCTTCTTTGGACTCAGGCAGACATGGCTGTGGCAGCATGCTTGTCCGTTTTCCCATTCTTGCCTATTCTGTGATATTGTTTGGATTGGGGCAGACACTCTAGCTCTGGCAGCATGCTTGTCCGCTTCCCACTTTTGTCCTTTTGAATATATGCCAAATAAAACTTACTTTTTCCTTAAAAAAGAAGAAAAAAGTATTAAAAAGCAAAGAAGTCATTTTAAAGACTAAGGTGCGCTTTACCCAAGCCTTGGTGTTTTCAATCACTTCATATGCGTGGTAAATCTGGACAATGAATAAGGAAGTTTGAAGAAGAATTGAAGCCTTTGAATTATGTCGTTGGTGAAGAATACTGAATACACCATGGACAGCCAAAAGAACAAATAATTCTGTCTTGGAAAAAATACAGCCAATATGGTCCTTAGAAGAAAGGATGGCAAGACTTTGTCTCACATACTTTGGACATGTTATCAGGAGAGATTAGCCCCTGGAGAAGGACATCATGTTTGGTAAAGTAGAGGGTCAGTGAAAAAGAGGAAGACCCTCAATGAGATGGACTGACACAGTGGCTGCAACAACGGGCTCAAGCATAACAATGATTGTGAGGATGGCCCAAGACTGGTGGATAATGCTTAATTCTGTTGTATATAGGGTAGCTATGAGTTGGAACAGACTTCATGGCACGTAACAACAACAACATGTATTAATAATAATTAAAATATCAACCCACTAGTTAGATAGAAATTGTCTGGGGTTAGTTAAGGAAAACAGAAGCAATTTAATGTTGATTAAAGAAGAATTATTAAGTAAATAAGAGAGCCTTAATAAAAAAAATAATAATAATAACTGGAACATATTTTGAGGCCAAGTCCCTTGAGATCAGTTTTTCTTACAAAATATATCTAGCTATCCTTCCTAGGAATGTGTATCTTCAATTTTATGAACATGTTCTTCATATCTCTTTCAAGTAACTGATAGATTGGTGAATGAGATTTATAGAAAGAAAGGGGGAAGAAAAGGAAACTAAAAATTATTGGTGAATATTTTCTGTCAGATAAAATCTCAGTCTTTACAGACCAGCTACTGCAAAGCCATCTCAGTCTATCAGGGCAGATATCCTAATTTCATCTCTGTCACCCCTAGCTGTTTACTTTCCCCTTTTTGGAGTTTTTGAATCATGTCTATTTTGTGGTATTTCCAGGCATATATGGATGCATGTATATAGTATCTTAGGTGTCATAAGTGCTACTATTATTTTTAATCAAATGAAAGATTGTAGTTGAAACACTGTTACCACTACATAATTGATTTCTTCATACAAAGGAGAAAGGTAAAGGTGAAGATAAAAATATCAAAAGGCCTTAAAAGATGATCTTTTTATGAAGAAGAAGTGTGTAGCAAAGTAGAGAGACAAAACTTTAGGAAAGGCAGACGTGGATTTGAAACTGGTTCTTCTTTTTACTAACTGAACTGAAGCAAATCATGTATTATCCCTCAGCCTCGGGTTTCTGATCTGTAAAATGAAGATTTGCACTTAAGGTGTCAGGGATAGAGTAAATCCATCCAGTAACCATTACCATCAACACTGTATTATTCTTATATTTTAACTCAGAAAAAAGGATTAAGATAGGAGGCAGAACCAACACGGCACTATAGACAGAAGCACCATGCCATCACTCTGCAGCAAAGATTGAAAAACTATGTAAAACAGATAGAAACGTCAATCTTGGAACCCTAAACATCAAATGAAGGAATGAAGCACTTGATCAAGCACTGAAAGGAATAAGAAACTGACAGAGAACAGAAAATGAGGACAGCTATGGAGTGGAGGTCCCCTACCAGCTAACTCAGCATGGATTCGCCATCTTGGACCACAGCCACCAAGGACTTCAGACAGGGAGTATAGGAAAGCAACTTCACGGAGCTTCCAACAGGAGACAGAGTACCCAGTAACCAGGGATATATGCTTTCCCACCTTCCACCCTTCTTCCCTGTACGTGGCCTCCACCACTTTCCAGTGGGCCACGGTTGCTCCGCCAGAGAAACACCAGCTCACTGCTGCCCGGATTCACCATCTTTGGACCTCAGCCATCAAGGACCATGAATAGGGAGTATGAGAAGGCAACTTCACAGAGTTTCCAAAAGGAGACAGAACACTGGTAAACAGGTATGTGTGCTTTCCACCCCCCCACCCTTCTTCCCTTTACAAGACCTCCAGCCACTTTCCAATGGGCCATGGTTGCTCGGCCAGAGAGACACTAGCTCACTGCTGCCCAGGGCTGCTCCACCCCCACCAGCTGGCCCCTTAAGCACCATTTTTCTTTGTTCGGTTGTTGTTGTGTTTTTTTGTTTGTTGTTTGTTTCTTTGGTTGCTTCTCCCTTTCTCTCCCTCCTTTCCTTTCTCCTACTCAGCTAACCTCATATGCCTTCCCCTCCCTCTTGACAGGCTGTGATTTTTTGGTTTGTTTGCTTTGTTCTTTTTTTTTTCTTTTTTCTGTTTCTTCTCTCTCTCTCTTTCCTTCCTTTCCTTTCTCCCATCCACCCAGCCCTGTGCATCACCCCTGCCACTTCTCTAGGGGCCATGCTGCACTGCTTGGCTGGAGAGTCACTGCATGCTGCCTCCCTGGGTCTGAACCCCCATCACCGACCATCTCCCTCAGCACCATTTTATGTACTTATTGTTTGTTTTCTCTTTTTTTATTGTTGTCTCTTCTCTCTATCTCCCTTCCTTTCTTTCCTTTCTCCCACCCACCTAGGCCCATGTGCTGCCCCCTCTCCTTTCTTGGCAGGCAGTGCTGCACCACTCAGCTGGAGAGCCTCTGGCACATTGCCTCCCCAGGTCTTCTCTGCCACCACAGGTCAGCTCCTTCAAGGCCATATTTTTTTTTTTTTCTTTATTTTTCACTTTCTCCCTTTTCTTTTTCCCACCAACCTAGTCCCTGTGCTGCCTCTCCTCTTCCTGACAGGCTGTGCCATGCCACCCGGCAAGAGAGAGATATCAGCTCACTGCCACCCCAATTCAGCTCCACCCCCAATGGCCAGCTCCCCCTACCATTTTGTTGGTGGTGGTGTTGTTTTAATTTTTTTTTTACAATTTATTTATTTATTGTTGGTTGGTTGGTTTCTTCTCTCTTTCATCTCTTTGCTTTCCTTTCTCCCACCCATCTAGCCCCATGCGCTGCCCATGTCCTTCTCAATACGCCAAGCTGCACTGCTTGGCTAGAGAGTCACCGGCACATGGCCTCACTGGATCTTCCCCACCCCCAAATGCTGAATCCTACCATGTCACCATTTACTTTTTTCTTTTTTCCTTCTTTTTATTTTTTTGCTTTTGTTTCTTTCGTCTTTCTCTTCTTTTACTCACCCACTTAGCTCTGCACATCACATTGTCTCCCTTCCCTCTTGCTTATCTGCACCACACGCTGAGTGATGTTCCCTCAAGCAGCACCAATGTGGTCCCATGGCTACCCTGCACTGCCCACCAGTCCTGCCTTGTTGGCCACAGTTCATGCCACAAACTAAAAATCCCTACCCTTACACTCCCACTGGACCCACCCTACTGCACCATAGCTGAGTGACCAGCCGTGTCCATCTGGACAAGGTGGTGAGAAGTATCGTGCCCACAGGTGAGCAAGCAACAAAACATGCCCAGCCCACCCACCCAGACATAACCTAATAAAACAAAAAAGCATGATGAAACAAAAGAATCTACAATCAATGAATGAAGGAAATAATTCCTTAACGTCCTGGAGACAACAGACAATATCAAAACATATAAAAAAAGAGGACAGGATGACTCTAGAAAGCGAACAAAATAAAACACCAGATGACCTTCCAGTAGGAGAAAAGACACTGTAACTACCTGATAGGGAATTCAAAACTCTAATATTCAGGGTTTTCCAAGAGATGAAGGAAAATGCAGACAAAAATAAGGAAAAAATAGACAAAATTATGGAAAATACATAAAAAAATCAGGGAAAATACAGACAAAGCAATGGAAGAATTCAGGAAACTAATACAGGAACAAAATGTCAACATAAATAAACTAGAAATCATACAGAAACAGCAATTAGAAATTCAAAAGATAAACAACAGGATTTCAAAAACGGACAGTGCAATAGAAGGATTCAGGAGTAAATCTGAAACAATGGAAGACAGGATCAGCGAATATGAAGACAAACACTTGGACACCACTTTGAGGAAATATCAGAGAAAAGAATGAAGAAATCCTGAGAATGATGTGGAATACAATCAAAAGCAAAAATGTCTGTGTTGCTGGAGTTTCAGAATGGGGGAAAAAGCAGAAAACACAGAGAGAATGACTGAAGATTGCTGACAGGAAACTTCCCTAATATCATAAATGATGAAAAGCCAGCCATTCAAGAAGCTCAACAAACTCCATATAGGATAGACCCCAAAAGAGAATCACCAAGACATGTCATAATCACACTCACTAAAACCAAAGAGAAAGAAGGACTCCTGAGAGCAGCTCAAGAAAAATGAAAAGTTACATACAAACGGGCAAAAATAAGACTAAGCTCTGATTACTTGGCAGAAACCATGCAGGCTTCTGTGGTGCAATTAATTACTTCTGTGTGTCGCCTTTCTAGCCATTGTCTTGTGACTCCCACCAAGGTGATTGGGTAGGGCTGTGCAAATAAGAAAATTGTGGCCTACCAAGGGTACTGGTCAGTTTTGCCTTAAAAGAGAGCCAATTCCAGAGCACAAAGGAGAGCCCACCACCATCAAAGAAGGAAACACCTGCAGCAGAGACCAGCAGCAGAGACTTGCAGGATGGTGCAGTGGGCTTCCCGGCCCATGGAAAGAGAAAGTTGAGTGCCTTTGGGCAGAGACTGAGGGCCAGGAAGAAGTCTATGCCTGACCCACTAATTTGGGACTTGCCAGCCTCCAAAACTGCATGAGCCATTTCCTTTATATGGTTTGTGAGTTCTGTGAGATGTTGCAGTGAATTAGGAAACCCAAAGACAGGACAGAGAGTACTGAGTTGAGAGGGAGCTTTTTTGTTAGAGATGATGGAGTGGTACAGCAGCTAGGAAAAGTTAGACATTTGGGACATCTTTTACCTCTGCCTCATAGGAATCAGCTTCGTTCTGATCCTTATTAAAGAAATTATTCGTTTAGATGACATATATAAAATCTTGAAAAAAAAATGCCAACCAAGAATAATGTATCCTGCAAAACTCGCGCTCAATATGATGGTAAAATTAGGACATTTCCAGACAAACAGAAATTAAGGGAATTTGTAAAAATCAAACAAAACTTACAAAAATTATTAAAGGGAGTCGTTCCATTAGAGAAGCAACATCAGACAACAACCTGAATCTAGGACACAGAAAACCATCAGCCAGATACCATCCTAGGTAATGAACTCTCAAAGATAAAACAAAACTAAAAGATTTACAACAGGGAATCAGAGAGGTCAATCTAAATGACAACAACATCAGAACAATTAAAGAGGGAATAAAGAGTGTAGGTATAGAACTTTCAAATGGAGACGAAGTCAAGGTGATATCAAGTAATAAAAGACTGGTTCAAACTTAGGAAGATAGGAGTAAATTTCAAAGTAAACACAAAGAAAGTTAACAAACCTACTCATCAAAATAAACAAAAAATGGCTGGGGCCTGGGGACCATAGTTTTGGGGGACATTTAGGTCAATTGGCATAACATAGTTTATTAAAAAAATGTTTTAAATGCCACTTTGGTGAGTGGCATCTGGGGTCTTAAACACTTGTGAGCGGCCATCTAAGATACATCAGTTGTTCCCATCCCACTCAGAGCAAAGAGACTGAAAAAAAACAAAGACACAAGGAAAATACTAGCCCAAAGGACTAAAGGACCAAATAAACCAGAGACTCCACCAACCTGAAACCAGAACTAGATGGGGCCCAGATACCACTAATGACCACCCTGAGAGGGAACACACTAGAGAGTCCTGGACAGAGCAGGAGAAAAATGTAGAATAGAACTCAAATTCACATAAAAAAGACCAGACAATGTTCTGACAGAGACTGAAGGAACCCACGAAACTATGGCCCCCAGAGGCAGTGTTAACACAGAACTGAAACCATTCCCAAAGCATACTCTTAAGGCAAAGATTAGACAGGAGTATAAAACAAAAAGTAATACACGTTAGGAATGTGTTTCTTAGTTCAATCAGATATAGAATACCTAATGGGCAGCTCCTGTCCAAAAGCGGAATGAGAACGCAGGAAGGGACAGCACCTGGTCAAATGGACACAGGAAACCCAGGGTGGAAAAGAAGAGTAAGAGTGTGCTGCTACATTGTGGGGATTGCAACTAATGAAGAACAATTTATTTTTAAAAATTTAAAAATAGAATGGAATCTAACAATCCTTTGTTATTTTGACATTTTAGATTAGAAAAGAATAGTAAAAGAACTTAAATGAGCTAGATCCTTCAAGAGGCAGTAAAACAGCACAATTTTAGTATTGTCCTCTGTGAGCTTTTGTGTGATGCCTAGAATTATGATACAGTAGCCTCAGGAGAAAATACTAAAATGCTTTCATGTACTACATGCCATTTCCTGAGAGAATTAACTAGTGCCTTCATTCTTTACAACCCAAATCTGTTTTCGCAAAACATCAACACTTACTACATTAAAACCTATATGTTTTCTACAAATTTTCAAGAAGAATCTTTTCATTGTTTCAGTATTTTATATCTGCAATAATACTTGGTAATGACTGAAGCCGAGATGAGGTGGCAGCATTCATTGTAGGAAAGATGAGTAATAAAATCATCAGCGTACAAATGATTTTTTAATTAGGTTTTAATCTGTGTATTTAGAGAAGTTATTTCTGTGTGAATTCCACACTGATAATCTTTATCTTGGTACCACAGCTGCAGTCACTAATGGCAGATGCTATGGACACCCTTGAAGGAAGAAGAAATGATAAAGAACGTGTGTGGAATACAGTCCAAAAGGTAAAACTTACAGCTGAAGGAAAAAGATATTTTATTCTCAAAGAAAATGTTCATCTTGGTCGTATCTGTTTAGAAAGTGAAAAGAAGGTTCTCCCGATCATTGTTTGTTTTGCTTGTTTTTTTCATTTTGTTTTAATAAATGCAGCACTCTCCTGGAAGTGTAACCAAATCAAATATGGATTTATTTAACCTGTTCCCGCAGGTCCACTTCTTTTCCAACAGACTGTGGTCGTATGCCTTTCTGGTTCTTCTTCATTATCATGCTGTTTTTCATATTCCATTTTCATCATCTACTTCTTCAATGTTGGATATTATTGGTGTTTTTGTTTGTTTGTTTTAGCGCTTATATCTCTGTTTTAGTCCCCACCCAACTCTTTCTCCATTTTTTGTCACTTATTGGCTACAATTCAGCAAACTACAGAAAAACAAGAACGTCAGTATTTTGGGTTGAGGAGTAACATACTGGCTGTTAGAAGCAGAAGAACATCCCTGCCTTGACTACTGGAATTTAAGTGCAAAGAGCACAGATATGCACCTGGTCCCAGGTACTCAGAAGATTTGAGTGATACTATGGGCACTGTCATGGATTGAATTGTGTCCCCCCAAAATATCTGTCAACTTGGCTAAGCCATGATTCCCAGTATTGTGTGATTGTCTACCATTTTGTCATCTGATGTGATTTTCCTATGTGTTGTAAATCCTATCTCTATGATGTTGATGAGATGGGATTAGCGGCAGTTATGTTAATGAGGCATGACTCAATCTACAAGATTGGGTTGTGTCTTGAGCCAATCTCTTTTGAGACATAAAAGAGAAAAGCAAACAGAGAGACAGGGGGACCTCAAACCACCAAGAAAGCAGCCCCGAGGGCAGAGCACATCCTTTGGACCAAGGGTTCCTGCACAGAGAAGCTCCTAGACAAGGGGAAGACTGATGACAAGGACCTTTCCCCCAGAGCCGACAGAGACAGAAAGACTTCCCATGGAGCTGACACCCTGAATTTGGATCTGTAGCCTACTAGATTGTGAGAGAATAAATTTCTGTTTGTTAAAGCCATTCACTTGTGGTATTTCTGTTACAGCAGCACTAGATAACCAAGACAGGGCCCTATGACAATACAAAAGCACGTAATGTTGGATCTCAAGCCTAGCCCAAAGTAGTAAATTCTGATCAATCTACCCTTCACTCAGTCTCCTCCAATCCCTTTAAGAACCCACAGAGAGAGAACTGGTGTCAGGAGATGTGACAGGAACAAACCAAAAGAGGCTTCAGTTTAAGAGACGGCAGCCAGCCATGAGGGATTCAGGTGCATCTGAGGAAATGTGTGTCTGCTGTAATAAGTTCAGAGGCCCTACGATAAATTTATAAAAGAAAAATCAACTGAATTCAGCAAATATTTGTTGAGTGTCTACAGTGCTGGAAACAATTCAAGGTGTTAGGAAAATCATTCTGGATAAGACAGACACAGCTCCTGCCTCTATGAGACTTACCAACTAGGGAGGAAGACAGATATTAAACAGTTACTTACAAGTTTGCTGAGTACGACAGTAAAAAAGTAGATGTTCAATAATCTATGGAAACAAATTGCAAGGGAATATAGCCTGGTCCCAGATGTCAGAAAAGCCATCTCTGAAAAAATGATACTTATACAACATTTAAAGGACATGTGGGCATTTTCAGGTGAAAGAGGAGCAGATTTCCAGAGGGAACAGCATGCACTAAGAATCCAAAGAAAGCATATGTCACATTCAAAAACTGCCAAGAGAGCGGGGGAACAAAGTGCAAAATGAAGAACAGAGGAAGGCAGAAGTCCAGTCACAGAGAAACGTATAAATGATGTTAAGGATTTGGAATTTTTCAAGAAAGTATTTAACTAGAAAATGGTTTTGAGACATCTCTAGGACTATGGTGGGGTTAACATATTGAGAGGCTACGGAAATGTGGAGAGATCAGTTACAAGGTAGTGACCGATGTTCACGTGAGACATGGGGGTAGCCTGAGCTGGGGTGGTGGGTATAGAGACAGGGAGAAGCAGGCAGATACAAAAAAAAATATTCAGGAAGCCAGATATACAGGCCTTATGCACTGATAGGATATGGAGGTTGAGAAATAGAAAACATTAAGAATGATGTCCAGATAGGCGACTTGAGCAATTGGGCAGGGGATAAGGAGAGGTTTGTTGGTACCATTTATTAAGGATGGAAACACTGTTAGGGAACAGGTTTTGACTGAAAATAGAAGCTCAGTTAGAGTTCAGTCTTAGAGTCTACAGATAGAACCACAAAAGATATTTGAAAGGGAATTTGTTAACTAGGTAGGAAGAAGTTTTTAACTAGGTACCTGAAAAAGCAAAAGAGAGCAATAAGTTATCACAGAGGAAGCAATTAAAAGAAGCAACCACCCCTTGGGCTGGGGAATCAAAGAGAAGAGGTTAGAATTTTTACACCTCGAGAAACTTGGAGCAGGGGCCCCACAGGGCCAAAACTCAGATCTCCCATGGGGAGGTGCTGCTTAGCAGTGTGATGTCTCTGAGAATGGAGGAGGGGTCCTGAATGGCTGGGACCCAGAGTAAAGAGGAGGGGGCACTAGCCCACTGAGACTGATGTCTGGGGTGGGGAGATGGAGAAGTGTGGGATGTAATTCTGCAACTTTTTGGAAGAACTAGATTCAGCTGGGAAACCCTGGTAGCATAGTGGTTAAGAGTTCAGCTGCCAACCAAAAGGTTGGCAGTTCAAATCCACCGGGTGCACCTTGGAAACCCTATGGGGCAGTTCTACTCTGTCCTATAGGGTCACTACGAGTTGGAATCGATTCGATGGCAATGGGTTAGATTCAGCTGCTGCTAATAGAAAAGAATATCTGTTTCTGAAGTGAAGCAGCTTTGGTGAGGAGATATTCACATGAACAGCAAGCAGACAGGAAGCCCACAGCAAGTCAACAGGAAGCAGAGAGGAAGGAGCAAGTCCTTTCTTTCACCTCCAGCCTTGCAGTCTCCCTCTAGCATCCCTGACTGGCAGAAACTAACAGCTGGAAAGCAGAACCAAGGTTTGCAGAGTCCCAGTCCCAGCATCACAGAGCTGACTGTAGATATAGAAGGATGAGTTTGAAGTTGAGAGACTAGAGGTTAATAACTGGCAGAAAAGAGTACTGAGCTCAGGGTCCTAAAAAGATATCCAAAGGGAAATATAGAGGCCTGACATTCTGGATAGAAGACTGAATAAAGATAGAGGTTTAGTGAGCATTGGCAAATTGATGTTAACTGAAATCATCTGAGCAGGGGACATGGCTAAGAAATAGGATATAGAGTAAGGAGAAGAGAACCTTGAAGAGCACATTTAAAACTTACGAACAGAAGCCTACGAAAGAGATTAAGAAAGAATGGCCTGAGGGATTGGAGCTAGAGGTCAACCAAATCCAATGTTGATGAAAGTGAATCAATATAATCAATATCTCTGTCAACTATAGAAATAATTGTTTAGAGCAGGGGTCAGCAAACGATGGCCTGCAGATCAAATCCTACCCACCATCTATTTTTGTAAATAAAGTTTATTTTAAACAACCACGCATGTTCATTTATATATTGCTTATGTTGGCTTGGGTAGAGCTGAGCAGTTGCCACAAAGACTGTTCAGCTCACAAAGCCTAAAATATTTACTATCTGGCTCTATTCAGAGAAAGTTTGCTGAATCCTGGTTTAGAGCACTATCCCTCCCAGAAATATTTGCATTTGTATAGTAAATGTTTACATTTACAAATCCAACTGATAGTAGAATATCAGTCCAATTATGAAATTCCAGGGATCAGCCAAAAGGTAGAAGAGAAATTGAGCAGAATCCCTGAAGTCACATCATGTAGACAACCTCCGATTCCATCTTACTCTAACTAAGCTAGTGTTTTTGATGGCTACATTTATAGAAGCACTTAGCCTATGATTTCTCACATTGCCCCTATTCCAATTATCTATTACTGTGTAACAGACCACCCCAAATTAGTGGTTTAAAACAATTCATTGCTATCTTTCACAGTTCTATAGGTTGACTGGACTCAGGTGGTTCTTGCTCAAAGTATCCCATGCAGTTCAGTCAGATGGCTCTGTATGTAGGGCTGAAATCATCTGAAGGTTAAAATGGACTGGGCATCTAAGATGGCTGACAGGTGATGTTAGTCAACTGAGGTAGTTGACTGGAGTGTCTAAATGTGGCCTCTCCTTATGGATTAGGCTTTATATGGATTAGGCTTCAAACAGCATGGCAGTTGGGTTCCAAGAGGAAGTATTTCAAAAGAAAGGAAATGAAAACCATCAGTCCTCTTAAAGGCCCAAAATTGGCATAGAAACTTCCACTATATTCAATTGGTCAAAGCAGTCACAGGCCAGACCAGAATCAGAGTTGGAAGCATAGACTCCACCTCCCAGTGGAGGAGTGACTTGTGCATTCATTGAGAGAATGAAATGATAGCGGCCATCTTAGAGACAAACTACAGCAACAGAACTCTGGCTCTTTATCCCAGGCTGGAAAACATACCCGCAAGCAAGCAGGAGTCAGGAGAACAGTGAAGTCAGGGCCACCAAGGCCTCAGTGACTGGAACACTGCAGAGCCACTCTACTCGACCACTGGGTGTCTAGGAAGACTCACTGGTGAGCAGCCAATCTTTCCAAATTAAAAGCCCTGGTAATGATCATAGCTTTCTAAATGGAAGCTCCTGAGAGGTCTTTAGAAGACGTGAATGGGAAGGAACAGGGTGCTAAATTTTTCCCAAGGGCTTTTAATTTGGTTAATGTGACTCTACAAAGGATGATTTTATCACTTTCAGACAATTCTGGTAGCAAGTAAGTAATTTCCTTTTACTGCTACAGAGTTAATTTGCGTGTGCAGAAAAAAATAATTAAAAAATAATAATTAACCCTAATTGTACAAGCTACACTGTGTTCTGAGCCCACTAGAAGTTGGTATCAGTATCACCACCTCTGAGATCTGTTATCTGTAATAGAAACAGCTGT